TATTAAACAAATAACATAAAGCTCAGCACTCCAAGAAGCTTTTGGTTTTCTTATTCATGTTTGTTGTATTATTATTGGCAAATAGAGGATACTGGCTAATATCTCCAGGAAGGCAACAAAAGTCTTAAGAGTTTAAAGAGTCAGACATGACTGAGCGACTGAACTGAACTGAAGTCCAGTCCACAATTGGCCTTACCACGCACCTGCTTTCTTTCTAGTAATTAATGTGGCATTTGTATCATATCCTTGCTTGGTTAAATGAGAAGATGTTATAAGAACTGGAATTTAGGAACAATTAATATCAAATAATACAGCAACCTCCAGGGAAGGAAACTTTATAAAAAGCCTAACCTTGTGGCCCAGTTTGCCTGGAACAGTCCTTGTTAATGCCTCTTGCCCTAGTGTAATCCTTAATAAAAAACAATTTCACTCTCAAAAATGACTCAGGTTAAGTAACAAATTCTATGCGTGCTCTGGTAATAAGCCCCTAGGGCAGCGGATATGGAGCCCTTGAGGGCGTGGGATGGGAGGACGCTCTATAAAAAGTGAACAACCATGTGGGTATGTCTAAGAACAGAGAAGAGAGGAGCAGGGATGGGAAAGACCAGGCCACCCAAGAACAGGTTGGAGCTTGCAGACTAGAGCAGGACCTCTTAATATTAAACTTGATATTGCTGTGTTGTTATGATTTAAACTTGCATCTCACCCTCACAACCTCTATAACAAAGCTGGCTGCACCATTATTGCATTATGTGAGAAATGGTTCAGGAGTTAAAGGAAAAGGCAGTATGTCACCAGTTTAGGTCACGGTGGAGCCACTCAGTGACAAGGCAGGAGTTCAGAGCGGAGGGTAACTCAGTTCAGTTCAGTCGCTCAGTCATGTCTGACTCTTTGCGACCCCGTGAACCGCAGCACGCCAGGCCTCCCTGTCCATCACCAACTCCCGGAGTTTACTCAAACTCATGCCCATCAAGTCGGTGATGCCATCCAGCCATCTTATCCTCTGTCGTCCCCTTCTCCTCCTGCCCCCAATCCCTCCCAGCATCAGGGTCTTTTCCAATGAGTCAGCTCTTCCCATGAGGTGGCCAAAGTACTGGAGTTTCAGCTTCAGCATCAGTCCTTCCAATGAACACCCAGGACTGATCTCCTTTAGGATGGACTGGTTGGATCTCCTTGTAGTCCAAGGGACTCTCAAGAGTCTTCTCCAACACCACAGTTCAAAAGCATCAATTCTTTGGAGCCCAGCTTTCTTTATAGTCCAACTCTCACATCCATTCATGACCACTGGAAAAACAGCCTTGACTAGACAGAACTTTGTTGGCAATTTAACGTCTCTGCTTTTTAATATGCTGTCTAGATTGGCCATAACTTTCCTTCCAAGGAGTAAGCGTCTTTTAATTTCATGGCTGCAATCACAATCGCAGTGATTTTGGAGCCCCCCAAAATAAAGTCTGACACTGTTTCCACTATTTCCCCATCTATTTCCCATGAAGTAACAGGACTGGATGCCATGATTTTAGTTTTCTGAATGTTGAGCTTTAAGCCAACTTTTTCACTCTCCTCTTTCACTTTCATCAAGAGGCCCTTTAGTTCTTCTTCACTTTCTGCCATAAGGGTGGTGTCATCTGCATATCTGAGGTCATTGATATTTCTCCTGGCAATCTTGATTCCAGCTGTGCTTCTTCCAGCCCAGTGTTTCTCATGATGTACTCTGTATATAAGTTAAACAAGCAGGGTGACAATATACAGTGTTGACATACTCCTTTTCCTATTTGGGACCAGTCTGTTGGTCCCTGTTCAGTTCTAACTGTTGCTTCCTGACCTGCATATAGGTTTTTCAAGAGGTGGGTCAGGTGGTCTGGTATTCCCATCTCTTGAAGAATTTTCCACAGTTTATTGTGATCCACACAGTCAACGGCTTTGGCATAGTCAATAAAGCAGAAATAGATGTTTTTCTGGAACTCTCTTGCTCTTTTGATGATCCAGCGGGTGTTGGCAATTTGATCTCTGGTTCCTCTGCTTTTTCTAAAACCAGCTTGGACATCTGGAAGTTCATAGTTCAAGTATTGCTGAAGCCTGGCTTGGAGAATTTTCACATTCCTTTACTAGCGTGTGAGATGAGTGCAACTCTGCGGTAGTTTGAGCATTTTTTGGCATTGTCTTCCTTTGGGTTTGGAATGAAAACTGACCTTTTCCAGTCCTGTAGCCACTGCTGAGTTTTCCAAATTTGCTGGCATATTGAGTGCAGCACTTTCACAGCATCATCTTTTAGGATTTGAAATAGCTCAACTGGAATTCCATCACCTCCACTAGCTTTGTTCGTAGTGATGCTTCCTAAGGCCCACTTGACTTCACATTACAGCATATCTGGTTCTAGGTGAGTGATCACACCATCGTGATTATCTGGGTCATGACAATCTTTTTTGTACAGTCCTTCTGTATATTCTTGCCACCTCTTCTTAATATCTTCTGCTTCTGTTATGTCCATACAATTTCTATCCTTTATTGAGCCCATCTTTTCATGAAATGTTCCCTTGGTATCTCTAATTTTCTTGAAGAGATCTCTAGTCTTTCCCATTCTATTCTTTTCCTCTATTTCTTTGCATTGATCACTGAGGAAGGCTTTCTTATCTCTCCTTGCTATTCTCTGGAACTCTGCATTCAAGTGGGTATATCTTTCCTTTTCTCCTTTGCTTTTGGCTTCTCTTCTTTTCACAGCAATTTGTAAGGCCTCCTCAGACAACCATTTTACTCTTTTGCATTTCTTTTTCTTAGGGATGGTCTTGCTCTCTGTCTGATGTACAATGTCACGAACCTCCATCCATAATTCATTAGGCTCTCTGTCTATCAGATCTAGTCCCTTAAATCTATTTCTCACTTCCACTGTATAATCATAAGGGATTTGACTTAGGTTGTACCTGAGTGGTCTAGTGATTTTCCCCACTTTCTTCAATTTAAGTCTGAATTTGTCAATAAGGAGTTCATGATCTGAGCCACAGTCAGCTCCCTAACTGGGGAAACCGTAAACAACTCATTCCCTCTCCAGAATGACAAGATACGCTGGGTATATATGTGTGTTGGAAGAAGTGGTACATATCTCCTACCTGCTGTGAGATGAGATTGAGCTGTTTATTAGAATCTCAAAGGATGGGATACTTCAGATGAATTTTGACTTGAAGCCGACAGTTTCATTGAGGAACTTAATTAATTTATTTTTAATATTTACTTATTTGATTGCATCAGGCCTTAGTTGTGGTGTACAGGTTTAGCTGTCTCACACCATGTGGGATCCTAGTTCCCTGACCGGGGATCAAACCCACGTCCCCTGCATTGCAGGGTGGATTCTTAACCACTGGACCACTAGGGAAGTCCTGAGGAACTTTAAAAGAGTCCTGAGACCTGTGTTTAATTATCATAGGATGTTGTTTACTCAATATCCTCTTTACTAGGACCCACAAGAAAATCTTCTTTTAGGTTTCATTATTGGGCATGATTAGGCTAGTTTTGAATATTTAATTTATTTGCTTTATAGACTCAGTCAGTCATGGAGGTGATCTTACTACCCTCTGTATCTTGGTTGCTGGGTCCAAATCTGGCTCTATCTTCAGCCAGCAAAGTGCCTTATCATACCCAGTTTGGGTATTCACTTAAGCTTCACTCTTAGCTCCATCTCTTTCTCTCTCTTATTTTTCTTACGACCCAATTTCCTCATTCATCTATTTTTACTTTCTTTAATGTATTATGTTTTAATTTTTTTATTAGTGACATTAATTCATTTTTAGTAAATTTATTTATTTTTTAATTAAAAGATAATTGCATTACAGAATGTTGTTGTTTTTTGTCAAACATAAACATGAATCAGCCATAAGTACATATATGTCCCCTCCAATTAATCAGACTTCTGCAGAAAATTTCAAGCTTCTATTTTTTTCATCTTTTCTTTCTTTCTTTCCTTCTTTTTAGCTTTACTGAGTGGCATGTGAGATCTTAGTTCCCCCACCAGAGATCAAACCCATGACCCTGGCAGTGGAAGCATAGAGTCCCAACCACTGGACTGCCAGGGAAGTTCCCAGTGCTTTATTTTTGATTTAATATTATTTTTCATATGTCATAATACTTTACTCCTATTAAAGTGATAGGAGGCAGAATTTTCCTATGTGTTGGTGTTTTTGGTAAAAATCCTGAAAAACTTCTGCAAAGCACATACTGCAAAGAGACAGTGAGTTCTAGTTCCATGAAAATCTCATGGAGGTATGAGATGTTGGACATGGAATTGGGAGAAATGGTTGGAGGCTGTTAGAAAGATAAGGAGGGTAGTAGGTGAAATGACCTGTTTGTTGTTTGTTTATGGAGCTAAAGTAGGAGTCAAAATGCTAAGGATGACCTTCTTGATTAGGTAAAACGGATTAAATAGGGAAGATGGTGGGATAAGCTGGAGGGATAACTTGAGGTGTTTCAACAAGTACTTATTAAAATTATTATAACTGTAAATATATCCTTGTAAGATTAACCACAAGTGGGTTGACCCAGTTGAGTTGAACTTTGAGCCTGCAGGGTCTAGATATAGGGCTTCCCTGGTGGCTCAGGTGGTAAAGAATCTGCCTGCAATGCGGAAGGCCCAGATTCAATCCCTGGGTTGGGAAGATCCCCTGAAGAAGGGAATGGCAACCCACTCCAGTATTCTTGCCTGGAGAATCCCATGGACAGAGGAGCCTGGTGGGCAACAGTCCATGGGGTTACAAAGAGTCAGACATGACTTAGCGACTACACTTTCACATGGTCTAGACTTTAAAAGAATGCTGGCAGTAATATCCTCTACTTAATTCCCCTTACGAGATGTTGTTCCCCATCTTGAAAACATGTCATCATGTCTGGTCAAATGCGATTATTGCTTATGAAGACCCCATACATGAAAAGAAAGGCAGGACTCTGCTCGTGCCAGAAACACAAGCTAAATCTTTTATTAGATTCTAAAGGAGAAAAGTGGAGAATTTAAAACTTCAATAAAAATCCATCACCCGTCTTAAAGAACCAACTTTGGCATTCATTGCCCCCCAGTCAAGATATCTCCTGTACTCCCCTGGCCTCAGCAGGTACTGCCTTCCCCTGTAGTTTGGCATCTCGTAGAGGACCCAGGAACCCTCCAGCACGTTGAGGGAGTGAACCTCATTGAGATGGAAGCGGTCTTGAAGAGAGGGACAATCGTCTGTGATCTCTGACATCTGTCCTCTGAAGTCATCTCTCTCGTAGATTCTCATTCTGAAAGTGCCGGTGTGCTGAGCAACAGACAGAACAGAAAAAGGAAATGGACACAAACAGAGAGAAATTAAAGTTCTAGCCGCTGCACTCCCTGGTCACACCTGCCCCAAAGCTCTCTTAGTCCAAGTCTACAACAACCATGTTTGCAGGTTAAGCTGCCTTCCCTGCCCTCATCGCCCACCTGTGAATCTAACAACTGGGCTAACCTAGAAACAGAACACGGCAGCCCTTCAGTTGCCATGTACCACCCTCTCTCCTTGAGAAGTAAGGTTGGTCTACAATAAGATTGATTATTTCAGGACTTCTTATCAGAGAAAGTTCCTCTCCAAGTAGAAAAGTAAGCATCATTGGAAAGTGAAGCCTCATTTGATCTATTACTCTTGTTAAAAAGGAACCAAAATTTAGCTATTTTCTGTAAGGCCAATGTTTTGGTTTTCGTGTTTACTTTGGAACAAAGGATTATGAAGCGCTTGTTTAAAAAAAAAAAAAAAGATGGTACATTTTCTCTTCTTCTGTCTTTGTAACCTCATTTTCAGTTCAAATTTCAACCTATGTGACAATCAAGCTTCCTTTCTGATCTCCTACCCTTCCCTTCCTCACTCCCCCAGCAGCAGGAATCATCTTCATGAAACTTGGATGTTTCATGAAGTTTGGATGACACTTATCCCACCCCCTACCCCCCAACTCCCACGCATTCTTCTAAGAACTCTGCAGTCACTCTCTGGGAAATACTGGATCTCAAACTTTAGTTTTGATGAGGCCTTTCCTCTGATTCCTACCCCTAAGCAAGCTAATAGGTACGGATTACAAAATTAGAATAGAAATCAGGGGCCCTGTCTTCTCTAGGAGGATAATCGAATAGAAAAGTAAGTCAAAGCAAGCAAAAGTATTTTTATCAATTAAACAGACCCAGATTGTATTTATAAATTTGGATATACTGAGTTTCTGAGTTGACATGGCTTGTAATGACCACTTTAAAAAAATATTATATCTTGGAGTAGGAGTTTGGGGTTAGCAGATGCAAATTTTTGTATATAGAATGGAGGCCCTACTATACAGCACAGGGAACTATATTCAACATCCTGTGATAAACCAAAATGGTAAAGAATATAAAAATGTATTGTATGTACAACTGAATCTCTTTGCTGTACTGCAGAAATTAACACATTTTAAATCACCTATACTTAAAAAAAAGAAATGATATCTTGAACAGAGGATAACTTTAGTCTCTTCTATGACATGCTTTCTCTTAATGCGTCTTTTTATCTTTGACTACATTTAAAACATAAAACACTGGGAATCTGTGATTTAAAAAAAAAAAAAACCACCACAGAGTTCATGAAGAATGGCTTCCCATATGAGACACCCCTCTAGAATGGACTGCATGCCCTGGGCTCACTCCCACTTCCTGCTGTCTAGTTAGAACGATTTGGTTGAAGAATGCTATTTCTTAATGGCTTTGATTTCCAAAGAAACGGAAGACAAAGACGGAACCAGGCTCACTTGCGGGATGAGGCGGCAGGAGCGGATGGAGTCGCTGAGGCCCATCCACTGCTGGTAGTCGGGGTAGTCGCCGCGCCGCAGGAAGTACTGGTGGCCCTGGTAGTTGGGGCGCTCATAGAGCATCCAGCAACCGCTGTCCACGCGGATGGAGTTGCAGCGGCTGAAGTAGGGCTGCAGGTTGGGGCAGTCGCTGCTGCACTCGTAGCAGTGGCCCTGGAAGCCCCGGTCCTCGTAGAAAGTGATCTGCAAAATGGAAGATGTGGGAGCATGAAGCGATTTGCAGCCCCGCTGGAGATGCCGCGACGGGGCAAAGGCGGCGCAAAGGTTCCCCGCACTTACCTTTCCCATGTTGGCGATAAGGGAGCAGGAGGTGTTCGCTGGGTGCTGTGTGGGACTAGGGGGAGGGCCGCTGTATATATAGCAGCCCTGACTGCTGCCTCCGCAGGAAATCACACAAAAGGGGCCTATTTCGGTGAGTAAGGGGATTTGCAAGCTCTCCGCTCCTCCTCCCCCTGGTCATTGGGGTTAGCTGAATGTTTACTCTCATTCTTTCTGGTAGGTTCGGGTTTTTCTAATTCACAAAAGCTGTTGTTGCCACCAAAATGAAAAGTCTTTCCTCTTTAGAGGGACGAGCAAAATTCTATCCCCATGCTTTTAGTTTATAGCCTACTCTGCTTAACTGACTCCTTAAAGGTAATTAAACACTGTGTTCTGCTTAGGGACTGGTGTTTAAAAAAAAATTCTTGAAAATAAGAACTTTAATATCTTAAGGAAGAGGGAATCAAATGAAGTAATTTGTGAAAATGCTTTGAAGAGCATAAAGCTAGTTCAAATTCAAGATTCTGTGATTATCAATGTTGTTGTTTGGGGGGCTATCTTGAGTGAAATTGACACTTGGCTGAAAATTTGTGGGCTCCCTGAGGCTGGGAATGATCCTTGTTCTTTTCTGTCCCTGGGCCCTGGAGCAGGGGATGGGCACAGAGTAGGCCCTCAGTCCTTGGCTGAATGAAAGCAGATGGTTGTGGCCTTCCTCTCTCCATGTCTCCCTGGGAGCCTGCACCCTTCCTGCTGCTGGTGCTGCCCAGAGATTGCTCGCTTTTTGGGGGTCCCTGGCCTCCTTCAAATGTCCTAAGATCTGTCTTTCCTCTTCACCTTGGTAAATTCCTGCTTCCTTGAGAAGGGTGATTTGAGTTAGTATAAGGATTAATGTAGGGGCTTCCCTGGGGGTTCAGTGGTGAGGAATCTGCCTGTAGTGCAGGAAGTGTGAGTTTGATCCCTGGGTCAAGAAGATCCCCTGGAGAAGGAAATGGCAACCCGCTCCAGTATTCTTGCCTGGGAAATCCCATAGACAGAAAAGCCTGGTGGGCTACAGTCCCTGGGGTCGCAAAAAAGTCAGACATAACCTTTTGACTGAAAAACAGCAAGGAGTAATGTAGAAACCCTCAAGGTGCCACATCCCCTACTTTCTCAGACTTTTGAGATGCTAGACAGTACCCAGGCTAGACAACAGAGCACCTTCATAGTATGGACTTCACAGTGTGGTTCTGGGACCCCTAAAGTCCCCAAGACACTTCCAAGGGGTTCATATGGTCTGAACAGTTTTCATAACAATGTGTGTATGTGTGCTCAGTCGCTTCAGTCATGTCAGACTCTTTGCAACCCTAGGGGCTGTAGCCCACCAGGCTCCTCTGTTTGTGGAATATTCCAGGAGAGAATCCTGGAGTGGATTAATCTTCCAGGGAATCTTCCTGGCCCAGGGACTGAACCCGTGTCTCCTGTAGCTCCTGCATTGCAGGTGGATTTTTTTTTTTCTTTACTGCTGAGACACTGGGGAAGCCCCCAAGATGTTTTTGCCCTTTTCACTCTTCTTCCTTCACAAGTGTGCAGTGGAGTTTTTCCAGAGGCTGTATGACATGAAAGAGATTTGGCAAAATGTAAAGCAGTTTCAGCCTTTTCATTACTTGTTTTTTGCTTTGGAAAACATGGTTATTCTTCATAACATGTTATTTATGTTAACATGTAATAGATTTACTACCTAAGGCTCTTCCTATAAAAAGAGAAACCCACCATGGGTAGGGGGTCCCTCTATTGGAATAGAACCAAACAGTATCCAGCAGATACTGGCCCTGGCATGACCCTCTATGGAATGACAGAGATTAGGTGGTTACCATTTCCCCAGTGGCTCAGCTGGTAAAGAATCTGGCTGTAATGCAAGAGACATAGGAGACCTGGGTTCTTTCTCTGGGTCAGAAGGATCCCCTGGAGAAGGAAATGGCAACCCACTTCAGTATTTCTTGTCTGAAAAAATCCCGTGGATAGAGGAGACTGGTGGGCTCCAGTCCACCCCAAAGAGTCGGAGATGACTGAGCATGTACACGTGCACTGCAGTCTTAGAAGCTATACACAAATCAGTGACTCAGGGATTAAAGAACCCTTTACAGTCAGCTAATGCTGAGATCCTAGAGCCACGTTGAAGAAATGAGTCTGGCAACAATGTCAATTGAAAAAGGGTGGCTCAGAGCTAAAGAATTCGCCTGCCAATGCAGGAGACATGGGTTCGATCCGTGGGTCTGAAAGATCTCTCAGAGAAGGAAATGGCAACCCACCTCAGTATTTTTGCCTGGGAAATCCCATGGATGAAGGGGCCTGGTGGGAAGTACATGGGGTTGCAAAGAGTTGGGCACAACTTAGCAACTAGAACAACTATAATTTACCAGAATTCCTGTTAAAGCCAAAGATTCTCAAGGTTGATAGGGACAGAGCTTTACAAATTAAAAAAAAAAAAAGGATGACATTGAACCTACTATGTCAAGTATATAAGATATATATATCTAGAAAGATAAGTTCTAAAACAAGCCATGTTTTATGCAGAAACAGTTTATAGGCCTTCAAGGCTGACAAGCCTGAGCTCAGTTCCCAGTTCCTCTACCTCTTAGCTGTGTGTATTTTTTTATTTTATTTTTTCTTGCTTTTTAAAAAAATGAATTTATTTATTTTAATTGGAGACTAATTACTTTACAATATTGTGGTGATTTTTGTCATACATTTACATGAATCAGTCATAGGTATACATGTGTCCCTCATCCTGAACCCCCCCACCTCCCTCGCCATCCCATCCCTCTGGGTCTTCCCAGTGCACCAGCCCTGAGCACTTGTCTCATGCATCCAACCTGGACTGGCGATCTGTTTCACATATGATAATATACATGTTTCAATGCTATTCTCTCAAATCATCCCACCCTTGCCTTCTCCCACAGAGCCCAAAAGACTGTTCTTTACATCTGTGTCTCTTTTGCTGTCTCACATATAGGGTCATCATTACCATCTTTCTAAATTCCATATATATGTGTTAGTATACTGTATAGGTGTTTTTCTTTCTGACTTATTTCACTCTGTATAATAGGCTCCAGTTTCATCCACCTCGTTAGAACTGATTCAAATGTGTTCTTTTTCATGGCTGAGTAATATCCCGTTGTGTATATGTACCACGGCTTTCTTATCCATTCACCTGCTGATGAACATCTAGGTTGCTTCCATATTCTGCCTATTGTAAACAGTGCTGTGATGAACATTGGGGTTGTATGTACCTTTTTAGGTTTGGTTCTCACAGTGATCGGCATGTGATTAGACTTGGTCATTCGGGAACCTTGGCCTGGACTGGGTGTTCAGAGAGCCTCCTCTGGCCTCCTCTAGCTGCCGTCTTCCCCACAGGACAGGAATGTGTGGTGGCAATGGGGACATGCCCACACTTCTTAGAGACCACATTCCTTGTACCTGGAGCTCCAGAATTTCCTCCATTTACATCCTTGCTTCCAAAACCTAGAAGAGAATCTTTACCCACCCACCCAAGGACACTGTTCATAAAAGGGAGCCTGTTTAGAGGACGTGATCGGGGGTGAGGGGAGGTGGAACATGTGGATGGAGCTTGGGCATGTGAAGGAGTGAGAAGGGAGGAGGCTGGGCCGTGGAGTGGTGATGGAGCTCTGTTTATGCTCTTGTCCCAGATCCCCACTCTTGATAATAATTGTGCTATGTTAGCCACAAGATGTACTCTAAGATTTCTGGTATGATGTCTGGAACATGCACAACACTCTTCAGAAGGTAGGCTTTCATTATTAGCTATTACTATTTCATCATCATGAGCCAAATAAGTGATGCTGGAAGATCAGTCATACCCACTCCAGTGAGAGCAGACACGGCTTCCTTCAGCAGGGTCGTGTCAATGATGTGCCAGTGAGCTCAAGAGGTTTCATCTGGGAGACATGCCAGTGGCTACCAGAGAAAGGAGTCTGCAGGTGCTTCAGGAAAACCCAGCTGACAAACTAGAACATTTGTATGAGACTGGGTGGCGGGGAGGGCAATGCACTGTTTTCACTGAGACTTCTCACAGGCCTCAGGTAACTTTTGTTGTTGTTACTTAATTGCTCAGTCATGTCCAGCTCTTTTGTGACCCCATGGACTGCAGCCCACCAGACTCCTCTGTCCATGGGATTTCCCAGGCAAGAATACTAGAAGGGGTTGCCATTTCATTCTCCAGGGGATCTTCTCCACCCAGTTATCGAACCTGAGTCTCCTGCTTGGCAGGTGGATTCTTCACCCTTGAGCCACCTGGGAAGCCTCCAGGTAACCTTGGGCTGTGCTTAGTTGCCCAGTCATGTCTGACTCTCCGGGACATCATGGACTATAGCCCGCCAGGCTCCTCTGTCCAGGGGGATTCTCCAGGCCAGAATACTGGAGCGGGTTGCCATCCCCTCCTCCAGGGGATCTTCCCAACCCAGGGATTGAACCCAGGTCTCCTGCATTGCAGGCAGATTCTTTACCATCTGAGCCACTAGGAAAGCCCAAGAATTCTGGAGTGGGTAGCCTATCCCTTCCCCAGGGGATCTTCCCAACCCAGGGATTGAACTCAGATCTCCTGCATTGCAGGCAGATTGTTTACCTTCAGAATCACCAGGGAAGCACCAGGGAAGGTAACTTCAATGGCTCTAAAATGAACAGTTTCATTTTTGGGAGAAAAAAAACAGGGTTATGTTAGATCCATTCATGTGTTTTGACATTTGAGTCTATGTATTTTGATATACAAGTTTGTTCAACTATGATATCCTGAAGAACTTTAGAGTTTT